TCAATATCTCACTTTTTGCTACATTTTTCTTCCTGCAACACCAGCATGGAATACCAAAACAGTAGCCCTATAGTTTTGGTATTTTTACTAATTTTTGATGAATTTGCAAAGTTGGACAGAATATGGACTTATAGCCAGGAAAGAGGATGCACGGAGAAATATAAGTTGGTTTTAGGTCCGCGAATCCACGCAAAATTATTGCAGTTTGCTGAATTTCATAGACCTGGAAAGAAATAACTAAAAAGACCTACGTGCACATGTTTTGTATGTTACTTTGCCATAATGCGTTTTCATTTTTAACAAAACTAATAAGAAGTTGGGACAAATATTTAGTAATTTCATTTAATGATTTAATTAAGTTGGTCCTGCATACCGGGTGCAGCTGTGTCAGGCTCTTCGATGTGTATGTACGCCACCTCTTGGATACGGCCGTTGCTGTGTTCACACTCAAAGGCTAAAGGTGTAGTTCTAGGGCGAAGTAAATTATGGATCTGGAATTTTGTATGTTCACGCAGAGAACAAGTTAGAAAACCATCATGACAAGGAAGTGTGAGCAAATGTTTTGAGACGCTCAACTACTCCGAACGTGCAACAGCTTGTTTCAAAATGCGTGACGATGCCTTCTTTCGGTGCGTGTAGTTATTATTTTTTTTTTTTACGCCATTATATGCACTGGAAAACTCGTGTAAAAGTGAAATATGATTCTGATTTTCCAGATCCAGCAAAGAATTTCCGGTGATCTTGTTGAACCATAAGCAAAATGAATTCCAGAAATAAAGCGTACGCTAGACAAACCATTGTGGCTGCGAATTGTGTAAAAATTCGGCTAGTTGCACTCGAGCATTTTCAATTTACTGTAAAACTGAAGAAATGTACCGATTGGCAACAAAGGTGTTAATGGTGGTAGTAACGACGATGGAGCGAATCACGCTATGATTACTGTTGTTACTCGGTGCTTATTATTACTAGTTATTCCGTTCTTACTTCATTCCTACATTATCCGGGCTTCATTCAGTTTCATTGTAGAGCCTGAGCATTTCGTACGGCATCAACGTGATCATCAGTTTTTTTGTCGCTTCATTCGTAAAATCCAGCAAAAGCAACAGGTTATTCATGTCTCTGTCAAAAACCCCATGCATATCTTATTTCCAGTCCCGGTAAAGCGTGGCAAGCCAACTGAGAATCCTTTCGGTATTACGATGGATTTAGTGGAGCCAGTTGTTGAGATAGCGCTTGAAGATGTTTATCGGGATCAGTTGGTCCCAAGAGGCTCACTGAGTTTACATTTCAAGGATACTCATCTGTCAGACGCTCATGGACCTAATGTTGCAATCAATCAGCTTGTTGAAGGTAAGCTGGACTGTATTATTGGCTACGCATTTGTTTATGCACTGGCGCCGGTAGCTCGAATGTCACCATACTGGAAAAGCGCTACTAATAATGGGATTCCAGTAATAACCTCAATTGGCTTGACAAGTAATCTAGATAATCGCCAGGAATACAAGCTACTGACTCGGATAACCAGTCCGTACAAGGTACTGACCAAGGCGGTGCTAATGATATTTGATCGGATGGGCTGGCTCAGAGTGGCGTATGTATTCCATGAACAGAGACACGGGAGCACGAACACAAATACTCCTTACGGGGAATGCTATCTGCAGATGGCCTCTCTACAAATGCTGCAGTACAAGAAGAATCGCATGGATCATAATTACTTTCTTTTCAACGAACTCAGATTCGATCGCGATCAAATTTCGAAAATTTTGATGAAAGCAAGTTCCCTTAGTAACGGTTAGTTAGTTTTATCTCTCCACTTATTTTTCATTTGACGAAGTTTTAATTCAGTTTGTAGAATCTGGGGAATTACAGTTCAAATCAAGTGTGCTAAGCAGTAACTGGTTGTGCTCGTCACATTTGTGCCATTTTGTTGTGCAACATTTTTCGAGCTCTTTGTATTGCTTTATATTTTCAGGAACTTGTTTCGCATTATGAACTGCAGCATATACATAATTGTTTAGTAATTTCTTAATTTTCTGTTGTTTCACACTTTATAAAATCATTATTCAAGCCACAGATCAAACAAAAATCCAAATTTGGATGAAACTTCGTGACAATTATTTCAAAATTTTGCCTTTTTTAGTAAGTTATTTTTAAAAACTTACAGATTTTGCAACTTTGTTGCCTGTACTTCTTTTCACCCTTTAGATATTTTTTGCAGTTTGCCACATAATTTCACAAACTTGCTAGAGCTGCTCGAGAAATCACCGTGAAGTGTCAGATTTTTATAAAAACAACATTATTTCTTTTTGCTGCCAGCTTTTTCCATTTTTAAATCCCTTGCAACAAATATTTAGCAGACGCAGCTGGACAGATTTTTCGAAAATTTTCCTGATTAAAAACGAAGATACTCTTCGCCTTTCACTCTGTCAGATGCTATGTTTATGCTTTTCAATTTTTTATTTCAGAATGCTGTGAAAATCCGTGCAGTTACAGCAATACAATAGTTTTTTGATTCCACTGTTTCTTATATTCTTCATTTTTTCTCTCAGAATCTATACATTCATTTATTATAAGCTCATTTGCCACACCTGGACTCCTTATTTTAACTAATTTTTATTCTGCAAAAAATTTTCCTTTTCTCCTCAGACTTTAAAACATTTCAGTTTGTGTTTTCATTTCCTTTATGCCTGCTGTGTTACAATTTATATGCGTTTTTGCCGTGCAGCGCTTGAGCGCTGCAACAGGCAGCAAAAATGCATATTGCAACGACCCTGTCAATGTGTGTGTGTATGTGTTCGTCTGTCCGGGTATTTCAACTCGCTAACCGCGCAAGCTTTGAAGCTG